AACAAATATATATATATATATATATATATATGTATGTATGCATGCGTGTGTGCGAGAGTGAGTATATATATATATATATTTTGTTTGTTTGAGTGAAAAAAAAAAAAAAAAAAAAAGGGGGAGTGAGTGAGTTTTTCATTTATTTTTTTATTTTTTTTTTTTTTTTTTTTTCTCTCTCTCTCTCTCTCTCACATATATATATAAAAAAAAAAAAAAAAAAGAACGACCTATATATATATATATATATATATATATATATATATATATATATATATATATATATATATATATATTTAAAGTCATAATTATTAGCCGCCCTTTGATTTGTTTTTTCTTTTTTAAATATTTGCCAAATTATGCTAAACAGAGCAGAGAAATAAAAAATTTTTAAAACACCATTTTAAGGTGAAAATCATTAGCCCCTTTAGGCTATTTTTTTTTTATAGTCTACAGAACAAACTATCATTATACAATAACTTGCCCAATTACCCTAACCTGCCTAGTTACCCTAATTAACCTAGTTAAGCCTTTAAATGTCACTTTAAGCTGTATAGAAGTGTCTTGAAGAATATCTAGTAAAATATGTGCTGTCATCATGGAAAAGATAAAATAAATGAGTTATTGGAAAGGAGTTATTAAAATTTTTATGATTAGAAATGTGCTGAAATTCTCTGTTAAACATAAATTAGGGAGAAAAAATGGGGCTAATAATTTAGGGGGAGCTAATAATTCTAATAATTCTGACTTCTACAGTATGTGTGTGTGTATATATATATATATATATATATATATATATATATATATATATATATATATATATATATATATATATATATATATATATACACATATACAGACATATATACACATATAGTATATATATATATATCTATATAGATATATACATATAGGTGTCCAGATATTTTGACGGATTATGCTGAGGGGGATCTATTGTAATTTGTTGCTAACTGTAATTCCCACTCCTGTCCAGCTGATGGCGATTTGTCTCTTGTAACCTCTGCATAGTTGCAAAAAAGACAAACCTGCCAACACTCCCGTTTTTCCCGGGAGTCTAAAATCTGGATGCAGCCTTTATGAATCTCCTGTATTTCCGACCCATCTCCCGGAATACTGCTGGAATCCCTGGAATTTTTACAACCCTCTCTGTCAAAATGACGGAAGTTGAGAAAGTCTAATGCGACCTCTGAGCTATATCACACGAGTAGCAGTGCGATATGGCTTTATATCAGCACTGGTGCGTTAGCGTACGCATTTCAGCACTGCCTTCATCAGGGCAATCGTTACTGTGATGAAGGCAGTTCCTTACTGAAACCCGAGGGTTTGTTTGAGGTTTAGCCATGTGATTTTTCAATTTTAATGATTTTTAAATGCTTTTTTTCACATTTTTCGAGTACCTTGAACTGATTTTGGTTGTTGTTTTGATGAATCCCTTTCCCAAAGAGCACCGACCAAACATTTGAGCTACCACTGAGCACTTTTTGTTTGTTTTTAAATTAACATTCAGCACAATCTTTACATTCTTAACCCACCCAAAAACTAAACCTAACTACTACCTTAATAACTATTAATAAAGAGTATGTTAGGAGCTAAAAGTCGTAGTTAATGATTTGATATTAGCAAGAATTGTCCCATAAAATAAAGTGTGACCAAATACTGTCCTGCATTACATTTTAAAAAGGATTTATTGCTCTATTTTTTAAGTAACATCCCACTTGTGTTTGGCTTCTTGAGAAAACATGCAGTGCACGTTTTATGAAGTCGTCACTGTGTTCAGTAGGAAAAATGATCAGTATGCATGATTATGTATAACCGCGGTCATGACCAATTATGTAGCACCAGTAGACCTTTTGGCTTCGGACCATCACCTCAAGTTAAACGCCACCCTGGAGCCCTTAAAAAGCAGTTTACTTAAAGAGCAGTCGTCTACATTTCTGCTGACAACTCCCTATACGTACTTACCGCCGAGACCCCATGCGGACTCAGTGCATTCATCATTTCTTCATGCAGACTCAGGGACTTTGCTTTTTTTATTAGTGCTTGGGCTTCAATGACTACGGCCTCAATCCAGAAAAAAAAAAACACCCCAGAGAGGAGAAAGCTGCACCTGGATCAGTTTTTATTGTCTGATATTAATGGGTTGGCAGCAGGAAATATGATCGCATATTAGAGTTATTATAGAGAATTTCTTATAGAGCAAAAGTAATGAATATAAGTCAGAATTGTTTTGTATGCATTCATTCTTTCCCACTGCATAT